AAACAGCTGAAACAAAAACGGGGGGGAAAAGGCAAAATGAAAAACAAAGCAGAGTTTTGTTCAAAGATGCAATATGTTATATATTTGCTCAACATCCCCAGATATTTTAGCAAGAATCATAGCTGATTTGAATATGTTATGGCTGAAAAAAATGTAGAAGGCATTACAATACTTTGGGGAGAAAGAGAACTGACTGAGACAGTATCTGCTACTGGCCCAACTACTTGGATGCTCCAAGAAACTTTCCTGAATTAAAGCTAAAATCTACAAGCAATTTTGCCTGCTGAGAGAGGCACTGGAATCAGGTATCTTATCAGGAAAGGAACACATTCTAAAAAAAGAAGCTGAACAACCTCTGTGTTACAACACACAGAGAAAAAAAGCCCATGGTTATGTTTTTTTACATGGTTTTAAAATCTGAAGAGGAAGAAGCAGATGTGCACATTCTTACTCACAAATTTCAAATGTGAATTTGTCCTGTCTGCAGACCCAGCTTGGAGGTCTCAAGGATTTGAATGCAACCAAAACTCCCTCTCCTGCTGTGACAGAGGGATCTCAGCGTTCCTCTCCTACACTTCAGGGGCTCTCTGGCAGTGTGTGTAAGAGGTGTCCTACTCCACTGAGAATTTTGGTTTGGTTTTTTAAACAAGATGTTTGCTTCAACATAATTTAGCCAGCAGAAATGACCACGGCTCCAAGATGTAAAGAGTTCAAAACAAGTTGAAAACCCAAATTTTCCTGAATCACAATTTCAGCTTTCCTCACTAAAACACTTAAAACTTTTCCGATACCAATTCCAACACCAAGAAATAAGAGAAGGTGAAGCAGAGAAAAAAAGATACAACAGAGGGAAGAGCGGGGAAAACAGAGACAATCTATTACAGCCCCGTAATTTCATCCCACAAAATTTCAGTCTGCATGCCCCAGCGATTCAATTACTGTACACAGCTTTACCCTTCAGCAGAACCAGAATTACAGAGAAACCCATTTTTAAAGGTTAGGGAGAGAGTTTTTCATTGACAGTGACCTGCTTCAATAGGGGCACACAATGTAAGGCAGGAATTGCATTTGCCTCACTCCTCCAACACAGGTATTTAACTTGTTTTGGGCTGCCAGTGAAAGATGCCTGATGATCTTAATCTACTCCCCAGAGAGAGCAAAGCCAAGGAACAAACTCACTTGATTACCAGGTTCTGTGCAAGATACTGAAACTGGTATTAAAAACCACATTTTTCTGTACAGGGGAGCTGACTCCTTTGGCATATTTAGGAGTATGTAAAAAAATGGGATTCTTGGCCACAGGGCTGGCAGATCAAAAAGGGTGAATTTTTAAAGCTCCCAGCACTTGGAACATCACTCAAGGGGTTTCACAAGGTGTTTCTCCCAACACTGCACTGTTATTTGTGTTTACTTCAAAGCAGGTATACTGAGCTATGCTGAACAACCCCAGTGCTGGATGCTGAATCCATCACTAAACCATGTGCCACATCTACACAGCTTTTAGATACCTCCAAGGATGGTGACTCAACCACATTCCAGTGCTTGACAACTCTTATGGTGAAGGAATTTTTCCTAAATCCCAACCTGAATCTCCCTTGGTACAAACTGAGGCCATTTCCTCTCATCCCATCACTTGATACCTAGTTCAGACTGATGCCCCCAATCTCTCCCAGTCTCCTTCCAGGCAGTGTTGGCAGCAGCAAGGTTCTCCCTCAGTCTCCCTTTCTCCAGGATAAACACCTCCAGCTCTAGCAAATACATTTGCAGTTCCTGTTACTCGTGGAAGAAGTTTGGAAAATTTGAAATGCTATGGAGGAGCTCTTATTTGCATATTGGAGTTAATTGTCCAATTACAGCTTTAGCCCATGCAGTCCCATCCTTCACATTTTTCTCTCTTCAGCCCACGTTGCTTCTGCTCCTGGGCCTGAGATTTGGATCATTTGTCCTTGGTCCCCAGCTAGAGAAGGAATTGTTTTGTCTCCCTACTCTGTGCAGAGAGCTCACCATCCCCTGATATGAAGCCCAGACCCAAACACTAAAGCAGCACATAATCTGAAAAATAGAAAAGCTAAACCTGAGGCATCAGCACCATTTCAGCCATTTGGGGATATTTTCCTCCTTCCCTCGTTGGCAGTTTCAGTCTCAGCATGGCTTCCAAAAGGCTATGAGCTTTTTTTTTTTTTAGCAATTCATTTGCACAAACAGAAACACTTTGTACTACACACAAGGAAGCCTTCTGGAAGAGGCCAGGCATCACCAACTTGTCATGGCTATGCTGTTTTTAGCTGCCTGATTGCTTTTCCCCCTTCAAAAATAAACAGAAATTATCTGGAGGAGAGAAGGAGATTTGTTTTCAAACTAAACCAATATCTCCAAATCTCTGCCATCTGCAATCTCCCACTGCAGCAGGGTAAGAGAGCAATGCTCAGGCTGTGCCCAGCAGGCTCCAAAAGCTGGGTAGGTACAGATCCAGGTGAGACACTGGGCTCTCTGCCCATCCCATCCCCTCATCTCCATCAGCCCTGGACCAGACTGTGAGAGGAAAATCCTGCAAGAAAACCTGCCCTGAGCTCACCCCTGCCAGCAGCACGCCCTCTATTTGACCAAATACTCGGCCTTTTGAAGCATTTCCCAAATTCTGAAGTGTTCACCTTCACAATCATTTTGGCCAGTGTAAAAATCTCATTTTAACTCTCATAGGAGCCCAGAATAACAACTGAATCTAAAATTAAGCCATTTTCCCTCCTCATAGAGTAAGAAAGAGCTCAAGTGTAATAGTCCTGCTCAGCCCAGAGTGGCTCATTGAGCTTTAGAACCACGCTGTGCCATCGTTGGGGCTGTCCACGGACATCCACCACCCTGGAACTGGGAGAGGTGGTTTGATGTGCAACCCTTGTGTCTGCTTGGGAGAGGAGGCCAAGGAGAGATTAATAAAAAAGCCACAAAGGGAAATCAGCCACTAAACTCCTGCCAAAAGCCACAGGGAACTGGGTGATTAACGCTTTGGAAAATCCTCCTTACCAATCAGGGGCTATTCTAAGGACCAAGATAGGTTCAAAACACCCGCAATTAGAGGGAAATTTGTATTCAGTTATTGGGGAAGCAGGTTCGTACTTGCTGAAAGCTCAGAAAATTATCTCTTTTTACTGTTCTTGTATTACTTCCTTTCTTTTTCCTTGGAAAATGGGCCCATTTTGAACAGCAGCAACTCATTGTTCCAGGATGGAGCAATATGAAAGAACATCACTGCTCCCATTTCACAGGGACCACAAGAGGAGGCACCAAGGGCTCTGAGGGCACCTTTCCTGCAGTGGGAGAGAGGATTACATCCTGGGAACACAGAGCCCCTGTTCCAGCCACAGCTAATAAATAACACTCTTACATATGTAGGCAGCAGGTACAGAATCCTGGCAGGAGTCCTGCTGTGATAATGCCCAAGTGTGACAGGAAACCTGAACAATCATTTAACTTGGGATGTAGAAGCAACAGGTCCCCACTTCAGTGCAATATTCCAACAAGTTTGGTAAAAACACCAGGGCCTGCTTGAAAATAATTTTGCCTGTCTCTACTAAAAAAAACCCAAAAAAGACCTTTTGAAGTTTGTGCATGTGATGTGAGTTCATTTTTCTCAAAGGGGCAACATGACAGCTGTGCTGGAGATAATCAAGATACCCCAGGGCAATTATGTTTTAATGCTGTGACAGTGGGGATGTTTATCTGCTTCCCTGTTACAGGCACATATTTCTTGGCAAAATCTTTGCTAATAAGGAACAAGGGATATCATCATTTCTTTGGAGAATATTTCATAGGGTTTTATTCTGTTGTTTGAAACAACAGCACCCTACTCCATGTGAAGCAACTGGTACTACAATTATAAGCTACATTAGGTAGAGAAAAGGAAGCTTTGCAGACACTTCTGCCTTATACAAACTGAAGAACAAGCATGACAGCAGGCACTGCTACAGAAGGCACTCTGATTTCTCTGCCTGATTTTCTTTGGTGTCTCCAGAGTGGCCCCTGACTACCTCACATCTGGCAAATTACTATTTCTCCCCAAATCCCAGGTAAGGGTGAGGGCGTGCCCCTGGTAAGATGGAAAATCTGAAGCACAGAGAAGCCAGGAATTTATTCACAGAAAATATGTTCCAGAAACAGATACTCAACCTCAGATTGGTTTTTCCACTATGTTATTTTTTTCTGTTGGCACACTGCAGCTTCCTGTTGGTTCACAAATATGTATGACTGTGTCCTCCATGAAACCTGAACATTCAAGGTCTGTTTGGAGCACATTCTTGTCCTGAGGCGTGACTGTAGCTTGGGCTGCTACAACATCAAGAATGCAATGGACTTTAGTACAGCACACCTCTCTGGGAGCTACTCCTTAAGCCTAAAAGCTTATTGGGCTGCTACAACATCAAGAATGCAATGGACTTTAGTACAGCACACTGTGAGCTACTCCTTAAGCCTAAAAGCTTACCCAATAATTATTAAAGTCATTAAAAGAAGAAAGTACATAATGAAATGCACTTTCCTGATACCCCAGAGCAGATCAGCAAAGAAAAGGTTTGGGCATTCTGGCAGCTCATGTGCGCGGTAGAGCTGAGGGCAGAACTGCCATCCATCCACTCCCTGCACACTTGCTCCTGGTGCCAAATGCACATGGTCCTGCACTGCTTCTTACACTTTTCCTTCTCCAGCTCCATGAGACCTACTTGAACCCTTGATCCCTTCTCATTGTGGTCTCGCAGAGAGAGAAACTGGGAGAACACGGGTCAGTGGGATTGTGCCTGAGTGATGTGCTGGGGAACAGGGAGGGGGAGCACCCAGCCCTGCCACTGTAACCCCCCTTCCTCCCCATCCCTTCCCAGCTGCACGAGTTCAAAATCAGCCTTAGCAAGTCAGCATGGTAGAATATAAAGCAGAGCAGTATCAGCTTCAGCAAAAGGTCTACAGCACACAGCAAAGCACCAAGGGCACAGAATCCTACCAGCACACCTCACCTGCTCCAGTGGCCTGTGACTTCCAGATCCAAAGCCCCAACCAGCCCCAAGGGCTTCCAGCTCTCTTCCTTTCTCCCTGAAGGGTGCCCACAGCAGCACAGAATGCAAGATCCAGGCAGTGCTGTTTTACATTCAATTTGTAAATTGACTACTCAAGGCAGAGGAGAATCAGCTTTCTTTAGCAACCAAAGGTGAAGTGATGCTCCATTTCCAGGTGTGCAGCCTCCTTCTCTTAAAGCTGCCCATGCCACACAAGCCTGCTCCTTCCCATGAAGGAGATTACACATTCCCACATCACAACCTGCACTGCCTCAACACAGCACCAGATTTCCTGCAAGAGAGAAGGGGAGCGAAATAAGGACCTCATGATGAAAGGTTCATGCTCTCAGTCTTCCCTCCCAGGTCTGAGCTCAGACTTTGTGCCTGACACAGTCTGGCTTTATATTCAGGTCACTCAGTCATTCTTCTCACATGTACATCAGGTGGTCCTGGAAAATGTGACCATTATCCATCAAGTCCTTAGCTTCAGTCAGCTTCCAGAGGAAGAGTAATAGATGCACTTGTGTTGTCACATCATTGTCCGAAATGTCAGGGTAAAAAGCCCTGAGCATTAACAACTCCCTAAGGAAATCAGCTCTTTTAAAAAAAAGTAGAATGGAGAGAAAAAAAAAGAAGGAGAGGGACAGAAGAAAAGTGCAGAGCTTCCTTTTTCATCAGTGATGACTTGCACAGGAAAGTGCCCTGACCTGCTGCATGCCAGCCAAGCACCCACACTGGCATCTGACTTCCACTTAGATTTACATTTTGTCTGGATAAAGCAACAAGTGAGCATGTTGGTTTTAATTCTCAGGATCCAGGAATGGTCTTCTCTTTGGACATCATACATTAAAAGAGACGTATCAGTTTGAAGGGTGAGAGTAATCTCGTCCCAGGGCACCTGCATTGAGATTCAAGCAGTGTGGAGAGGTGATAGTATCAGGCAGTGTAAATCTTTACAGACAGTAAAGGGAAAGGGGGGAAAAACAGAAAAGGGAAAGATGAAATCAAAGATGACAAGAAGCAGTAGTCAAAGTTAGGAGGAAGAGGAGGTCAGGCACCCAAACTAATCAAGGTGACACGGTGATATTTTCCTGGTGTGGTCAATCTCTGTGATCTGCTTGTAAAGGATTCGCTAAAGTTAAGTGACAACTACGTAAAGCTTCAAAGCTTTTAAAAGCAGGTAAAACACAGGCATGAACAAAGATATTTCTGTGCTGAAATCTCAGGAAGAAAAGGGAAGTGAAATGAGAGGCAAAGCATACCCTGTCCTGAACAGTCCAAAGCTGAATTTTTGACCTCTACTCACCAATTCCTAAAAAAACCCCTGACCTGGGACTACAAACCCTGCAGAGGAGTTGCTGCCATTTCTGGAAAGCTTATAAAACTTATGGCACATATTTTTGCATTTTCAGCTGCAAGCACACAATATCAAAACCTCAAATGACAAAGATAAGGTGCAGTAAATCCAAGAATGCTTTGTCCTCATCTCCTTAAGTACCCCTTTTACACAACCCCTCATCACAGCACAGTCTATACAGCCAAGAAAGATGCTATAAAAAATAGGAAATTAAGCCAAAGTTAGACAAGACCACAGGAATCTGTCTCAGAGATAAGAGCACCAGTTGTCACCTGCCCCAGATAGATCCCTCCCCTCTTCAGACTCCAACAGGAGAGGCATGGCCACACTCTCAGCATTACATCTTACCTCCAGCTCCTTAATTGGGCTTGTGGATTACTAATAAGTAATTGATACACAGGAAATGAATGTCAAGCCACCACTGTGTGTGCTTCTGCATACAAATACGGGCAGCTGAATGCGCAGCAGCAGCAAACGCTGCAGTCCTGCCATTCCTGTGGCATTTCCAGTAGGAACGTGCTCAAAATACCTCAGCATAAAGTGTTTCACTTTGTACAAATGATGCTGCTGTGATTGCTCAATGCCTTTTCAGTGAGGAAACTGCAGAGGGCTGAGGGGGTCAGATAAAACCCAAAGATAACATGTTATGCAGACACTGCTCTGGATGAATATCAGGAGAAGAGAGAGACTTTAAGGGGCAACACAATAAGAAATCAAGATAAAGATTTATTTTGCGGCACACAAAGCCAAGTACACAGCTCTCCACGCATTCAGTCTTCAGGAACAATCTTCCTATTTTTTCTCTGAGAGCCAAAAAAAGTCCCCAAAATAACCTCAGTGCACAGTCTAAATTCGTACTTAATGCCAACTTTGTATCAAATTCCTCCACAGAGTAAGATGCTGCGCTGTAAATAGGCTCATTTTCGTTATTTTATCAAATTGCCTTAACTTTCTCTCTGCAGCATCCTCCGGGGCTGGCAACACGGAGACGTGCAGGAAATGTAAATCGCTCCCCTTTTGATATGATAACCGTGGCAGTGAATGCATCCCAGAAATCAGCTCAGGATTATAGCTGAGAACTCGCTGAAAGCACTTGGCTGTGGCGTGGTGCCAGCAGGGGAAACTTCAGCCGGCAGGTCAGTGTGACGTGGGCTCAGGGCTTGGGAAGCAGGAGCAATGTGCAACACCCAGCTACCTGGCGCTGCACAAACCCCAAAGCCAGCAGCCTCAGGGTCCATCTGGAATTAAAAGATGCAAACAGGTGCTAAAAACAAGTGTGTATTTATGTACGCAAATACATGGGGGAGCTCAATTAAATATGAATAAGCACCTAGGAAAGCAACAGCCAGAGGCTGTAAGATAAAATCTACCTGCCAGACAAATACAGATGTGTGTGTGTATATATATATATAAACAACCACACACCAAAAAAAAATTTCATTTCCTGCGCTGACCTATTTGTGGTTACAGAACATTATGACAATAATTATAATCATGTATCTTTCATTTAAATAATGTTTTCAGTTTCAAAGATTCAGAGGATGTTGGAATGCAAATAAAGATAATCAGGACGTGAAAATAATTGTTTTCCTAATGCCTTATTTTTCATGTGCAAATGCCACTGATAACAGCTCCCAGCATTAACCCTGGGCCAGAACCCCATGGAATTTGGTAGTGCACAAACACTAAAAGAAAAAGCTGTCTGAACCCTAAGGAATTTGCAGATCTAACAGCAAAGAGACAGCAGATGGATATAGACAGAAATAATCAAGAGGTAGTAGTTAACAAGGCAGGAGTTAGTCTCAGCAAACCAAATCCCTGATTGCTGTGAGCCTTGTACAGGCACCACAACAAAGAGGAGTTTTGATCATTGATGCCCCGCAACACACGAAGCTCAGCACATCCTTCATCTCCACCGCTGTGCTCCATCTGTTGCCTCCACACTGGCTGGCAATCCGTGCCTCCTCCTCCCCACTGCCCTCAGATTTTTCACACAGAAGCTCCCTGGGCCAAGGACTGTCATGTATGACCTCGCTCCCCAGCACTGAGCATAGCAGGGCTCAAACTAGGGACATAGAGACAGATAAAACCATTTAGGGACAAAACTGATGATAATTCTTATCAATAACTAGTCCAATAGAGTATGAGCATGTATGCACACAAGCCTAAGGGCAAAACTCAGGCACACAAGCTCCATGTAAAACAACAAGACACATCTGAGCACCTTCTGATGGTTCTCACTGAGTCCACACTCCTCTTGCTCTCAGTATGAACCATGCAGGGCAGAGGAAGAGCAGCTGGCACACTATGAGCTTGTGAAACTGAGACACACCATCAGGAAATGCAAGTACTACACCCAATCTCAGCTGGAATCTCCAGAGGCACCACATTACACACCACAGTAATCAGAACTAGCCCAACAGACTGATAGCTGGGTGGTTATGACAAACAAGTGCCACAAAAATATTTAAAATGTTCTCAAGTAGTTCTTTGTAAACAGAGATAATGTCTGCAGGATACAGCATTCATGCCAGGAGGTTTTGTTTCAGCACTTTTGACTCAGTGACCTGCTTATTACAACACCTTTCAGACTAACTTTAAGGCAATGAAATACTTCATTTGTGTAACCAAACCTGTCTTTCATTACACAAGACCATTCCACATGGCTTTCAGGTTCTTAAATTAAATGCTTAAAAGTCATGAGGTGAGGAAATAAAAGCTCTACAGCACCAATCCACCCCTTCCTCATGCCCAGCCAGACCTGCATTGCAGGGAAGTGCTGCTCTTCCAGCCTCCACTTCCACAATGTACTCCAAGGATTAAACAGCAGATATATATTTTTATTATGTTGTGTCTGTTTGTTTCTTGCACATCCTTTTTTCCTCCGTGGGCATCTCCCAAAAATCAAAAGCACCAAACAAGAAATACGGTTTATAGTCTGAGTTCACGGAGCCTTCACTCTGCAGTTAGGCGTGTTCCACAGCTAGGAATTACATTATGTTTCCAGTAAGACACAGTGAAATGCAGGGTAGGAAGGCAGCCCCTACATAAAGACATGTTCAACAGGGCACCAGCTTCCACTTCCATGCTTTAATGTCTAACATGACCTGTTTTCCTCTGCAATTCAAACCTCAAAAGTGGAAAAGAAATGGCATGTAAATGGACCTTGCTTGCACTTTAAAACGCTGTTAGCAAATCTTAATCTCTTTAAGTCTGGCCATTTAAAATCAGGCCTATTTAACTTGCAAAGGTAGGTCAGCTTTTATTGATCACCCCTAATGCACTCTTAAAAAATGAGAACAGTGAGATACACAGCTCAGTTGATGAAGGCTCACTGGAAAAATATCTGGCAATATTTACAGCCTTCAAGCTATGCTGTTGTAAATGTGATTTCCACATTCCCCAGAATGCAGACTACAGGCTTGCCAGTTCACACTGCAAAGGGAAAAGAAAAGCTCTGCCACAGAGGAGGTGGATTACTCTTTGCATTGACTGAAAGTACAACTATAAACTCCTAGAATACAGGCACAGCAGCCCAAGCCCATTTAGCTCTCAGTTATCATTCCTCAATCTTTCTTCAGTGCAGTATTTTGAGCCTGGATCTCCAACTCAGAGTCCATGCTATGCCCTGAATTTTGAACAAACAACGAAACAAACAAAAGGGTTTTGTTACAAACAACTGATGACATTTTTCCAGCTGCTATAGAAATAAGGTGGGTTATTGTTACTTATACTATGGCATCACCTAGAGGTGCTCATAATTAATCAGAGTTTCTTCTACACCTCTCAGAGAAGGACCAGAGGAGAAGCAAGTTTTACTAAGGAAGTGCAGCATTTTCCACCCACATGGACGAGCTCAGATCAGACACACTGCAAGGTCTAGATAGTTCTACTTGACACAGTTTTTTGCTTCCCTACTCTGGCTACTTGTGAAG